ACACACAGTCATTAAAGGGCCGCTCTACAGACGTGCTATTAAAAACAGCAAAGCCATGTTTCCAGGCGTCCTCTGTTTGAAGAAACTAGTGATTAGTTTTAACTGTGCGTCTGAGCACCGAACAATGAGCGCCTCAGTGTTTCCTGTCAGGGTGTTTAAAAGTATTCATGTTTTGAATATGCATGCAGGTTAAAATATTGGATAGCACAGAGAGGGAAAAAGGATGACAACAGGTGCTGGATGGAGGAAAGAAGGGGGCATGGATGGATTAGATAAGATACGAGAGTGAGGACTTGAGGAAAGATGGGGCTTGAGAATAAATGAGGCTGGCATGGAAAGAGGGGACACACGTGAGCAAATGAGAGGAGATGAGAAAGCAAAGAGGAAGGAGGAGAGGTGAAGAGAGGAGAGGAGATAAGGTTATTGAGTTTCTGTCTGCCTGTTTCTCTGCACCCCCCTCTCAACCTCACATGGCACTTCCCAGAACAGAGATCCGTCCTGTGTTAAAAGCTTTGTATCATTTAGTCCAGACCCCTTAACATTAATCAATACAGCAGTTATTTCATTTTCTCGTTTGTACCTTGGGCCGCCTCATTCAATAAAGACGTAATGTGGACCACAGGCACACACACAGATAGATACTCATAACGCAATTGTCCAGCTGTACACAGAGTCTATCCCTTTCATTTACACTCACACCAACTCTGCAACAAAAACAGACTCTCATAACATCGTCTGCTGGGTGCAGCGTGTGCTTTCCATCATATTCACACATTTGAGTATTTGGGGGTAGACCAATATATGGGTCAACTGATGTATTTAGCCGATATTTACCCTTTTTTACATAGCTGCATCAGCTGATTTAGCTCCTTAAGTCTAGTTTATGCTTCTGCGTCAGCTCCACGAGGGAGAGATGCACACGCATTGATGGAGGCGTTTTGCCTTTGGACTTCTCCGTCTCCTGGGCAGTGCTGCAAAGCAATTCCCCACCAGGACAACAGGGGGTGCAGCACTTCTCTGGGGTCTCCTGTCATGTATCCAGTCTGATTGTGTTTGTATTGTGTTTTGTATTTCAAAGACTTTTTAACACAGAAAAAACTGTCTCTCATTCTCCTCCACCTCTTCATAGGCTCGCCATCTCCAAACCCACGTTTCCCGTCATTTCCATCCACAAATGAAACGCTTGTTGCGTATGTTTTTACTCCTCCAGTCACGGGTGAATAAAACTTTCATATTTACAGAGTTTTTTCCATGAGGTATTCTTCAAGCTGCTCCGTGTCTAGATATCTTCGGCTCTCTCTCGCTCATTTTTTTTTTTTTTTTTGAGCGGGCAATGGAGGTGTTGACAAATTTAAAGGAAGCCGTGTTCTGGCCAATCACAAACTTGCATTCTCCATCTCGTTTGACAGATGTTTGGCTCGCAACGACGGGTAATGGCGTTGTGTGTCTCCGTACCACCGCAGAGGCATAAAATAGGCACATGCACGGGCAGCCTGGTGCTGCTGCAGAATTTAATTTAAGTGTATATTTATGTTCCTGACTAATATCTTATTAATAAATACTCAGAACATTTATTTCAACAAAAATTTCTTATAATTTACGAGTTTTGAATATTTAATACTTACATATAATTTGATTTACTTCAGTTAGATGTCTTATTTTTACACTGAGCAGTGCACAAAATTAAACTTAAAGTGACAATGTGTCATTTTTACAAGTTTTCAATGGAAATATCCATTGAAAGGTTGTTGTCAATTATTTAAAAGATACCCAATTGTTGAAAAATATTGGCAGTTTTATAACATACAACCATAAAAGATGGGTCTAAAATACAAGGGAGCAGGTCTAAGTCATCCAGCCATATTGGATGTCATGTTTCCTTGTACAGAAGCCTGTGAGGACAGAATGCATTTACTGATTTGTAACAAATAGCTACAAAACATTCAGTAATAATAAATGTTCTTTTACACATTTACCTCTTCATTCATTGCCAGTGATGAAAGGGAATCTGATGTTCTTGTTATTTAGCTGGAGGTTGCGCTCCCAAGGATTTTTGATCCTAAAGACCTTCTGTTGGTAAGATCTTACGTGAACACCAAAATAATGCTTGCTTGCAATGATTTGGGTATCCACTGCCAACTTATCGCCAGGGTAAACACACACTGTCCCTTTAACAGCTGGTTAAATTCTGTGTTCAAAAACTGTTATTAGTGACATTTTAGCATGAAAATGAGGTGGAAAACATCTATATATTGACCATGAAAATCGGACCAAAATATCAGCCGCACAATTTGCTGACCATGACCTTTACCTATCAGCATCGGTAGCGGCAATAGAAATACTAATATCTGTCAATAATCTGTGAAATCCCGACTAAAACGACATTTTCCACTTTTGCTTAAAAAGATTTTCATTCTGCTTCATTCCATAGCAAAGTTTATCAGCCACAACATCAGATCCCCATCTGTGCACACATACACTCTTTTTTGTTTTGTTTTGTTTTGTACCACTGCAGATGAAAGCCAATAAACTTCACTGAATATGAATTTGATGAGTTAATTATGAGCCTTCAGCGAGAAAACTGCAGAGGGTTGGTTTGATGGAAGTGAAATCGGTGCTGTCCTGTCATTTTGTTGCTGTTTGTGTGCGTGTCCGTGTCCGTGTGTGTGTGTGTGTGTGTGTTTGTACCCGCGTCCACGTGCGTGTGTGTGTTTGGCCAGTGAACGACAAGTTGCACACATTGCAAGTAGTGAAAGGTTGTCAGAGAGTCTTCTTTCTGTGTGGCAAAGTATTAGCTAATGCTGTATGCAGCACAGGGATGCTTGTAACCTCTGTAATGTTTTAGAGTTGGAGGGATGATGCTGACTGGTGGCGAGAATGTGTGTGTGTGTGTGTGTGCATGTGTCAGTACACACACGGATCGCATGGTCCTTGGTCGAGATAACAGGATAAATATGTTTCATTGTGCTCCCCTCTTGACCGCTTCTGGCACCTTGAACCTGAAGGCAGCTTTCTCCATCAGTGGCGGCGCACACGCAACACATTCACTTGCTCATAATTGGTTTCCAGCGTAGTTTTTTATGTCCCCTTTTCCCATTTCATGGCTGTCTACTTTATAGAATGTAGCATTCACATGCAGGAATGAACATCACTAAAAAGCATGCATGCGTTCACATTTACAAAGTCTGTAATCAGAACTGCCACTGAACACAGAAACCTGCACAATCCAACTGGAAGTTATGGAGACTCAGTCCCATTTGCTAGTCAGGATCACTTCTATCATCTGTTCAATTTGCATACGTGGCACACAAATGTTCCCCGTCTCCGTGTGCAGCTGAAATCACCGTGCTGTTTGTGTCATTGCCTCAAACCCTCACACACACACACACACACACACACACACACACACACACACACACACACACACACACACACACACACACACACACAAGCCCATGTGGAGATAAATGTGACCAGCAGTCTTCACCCCCAGCAGAAGAAAATCCAATTCTCTTTCACTTTTATCCCAGAGACTAATGTTACTGTCAAAGAAGACACCACCACTAGAGACCAGGCGACTGTGTGTGTGTGTGTGTGTGTGTGTGTGTGTGTGTGTGTGTGTGTGTGTGTGTGTGTGTGTGTGTGTGTGTGTGTTGAGATAGCAAATTCATTTAAGGTGATGTATTGCTGTCTTTACCTACAATCCAACTGTAGGCCTTGGGGGTGTTGTTCCTACCAATCCAAGACAGGCTTGTGACACCCCGCCCCCGTCCCCGTTTTTTTCTTATTACCGGTATTCTACAAATTGGTGTCTTACTCATCTTCATCTCCATTAGTCATCATTTTTATGACTCAAATCTCAGTATTTACTTTTTCTTAAATGTTTCATGTTTTCTTTTTTTTTGTTTTGTTTTGGTTTTTTGTACAGTTTTCATTTTTAGATTTTTTTTTCTTGCACAGACTCTGGATAGTTCAGCAATGCCATGCTGTGTTTGCTCACAAACTAAATGTTTAATGACTAAAAACTGTTATTTTAAAATCTCTTTCCTTACTGGATAGTTTGCTTTCCTTTCCTCTCCCTCAGGACTTTGATTTAGAAAATGTGAACTATTCATCACCACTGACACGGTCTGTGTGTTCACAAGTCATGCACACACACACACACACACACACACACACACACACACACACACACACACACACACACACACACACACACACACACACACACACACACACGCACACACACACACACCATCATTTGTAACTGAACATTAGGTGTTTGTGACTGGCAAAGCTTGAGAGCAGGGGAGGAAGAGGTGGTGGTGGAGCGCCCTGTAAACAGGGACAACTGCTGTTTTTGGGTGCGTTTGTGGGAGTGTGTGTTCATGTGATTGCAGGTACTTTGTTAATCATTTGTAAACCCCCACCAGATGTCACGCAGAGGGATCACAGGGCACAGGGCCTGTCAGTCAGTCAGTCAGTCAGTCAGCCTCGCCCTCATCAGACACACACACTTGTGCAGGTGCACAGCGATCAAACCGCAACCCCCTTCCCTTGAGGCTGATTAGTATTCATGAGATCTCAGGAGGCCTGTCTCTCTCTCTCTCTCTCTCTCTCACACACACACACACACACACACACACACACACACACACACACACACACACACACACACACACACACACACACACACACACACACACACACACACACACACACACACACACACACACACACACACACACACACACATATTCTGGTGAATTGGTCTATTCTAATTATCTCCTGGCGTTTATGGAGAGGGCTGATTAGAAGCTGTCAGTGTGACTGATGACGACATACCATGTTATCCCCAAGAGAGAAACGAGGTGACGGAGATCGGCTGGTCACAGCTGTGGACTCGGCTTCCTCTCTGTCCTGGCCGTTTTTATAGTTTGTGTATTTCTTCCTTGTAACGGTGCTTTGTTAACAGATGTCCCTGTGTTTTGCCTCTGTAGGTAAGCCGGTGATGATCATAACGGAGTTCATGGAAAACGGATCTCTGGACACTTTCCTCAAGGTGAGTCATGAACGAAGGGCAGCGTGTGTTTCCTCCAAGGCAAACTCTGCTCTTCTTTAGAAAAACTAAACAGAAAAAAAAAATAAAAACTTGTGTCTCAGTTTTTAATTTCTAAGAAAAGTGTAGTTTTTATAGAAAAGGTGGGTTTACTGGGGATAACCAAAAAACACAGAAACAACGTAACATATGTTCAGTGCACAAAGCTCACAAAAGCTATCATAACAAGTTCAAAACACTTTGTCAGACTTTTCCTTTAATAAAGAGAGACAGAGTATAAAATCTGTCAGCAGACAGTTGACAAAGAAACTTTTTCACTTTATGTGGAGCATTTGCTTCTTCAGGATGTATGAAAATGAGCAGTTCATTACAAACGTAATGTAATTACACAAAAATCAAAGTGTCTGTGGCAAGAGTTTAGGATATTCAAAAAAAATACATCATTATCATAAATAAACACAGAACAAGACCCAGCAAAAGCATTTCTCAGGACAGTTAATGTGCTCATGGAGCGTTTGTTTTGAATAAGGGAGAGTTAAAAAAAATTGGTTTCATAAAAAAATGATTCTTTTAAGGAAATGACTTGAAATCCTATTTCTGTGTTTGTGTGACTAGGTTGATCAAAAACAAGAAAGACTTTTTAGACAAGACTAAATAAGTTTACTTTTGTCCCTCCAACTGGCTGAAAGTGGAATTACAATGGTCGTAAGCAAACCCTGCCGAATCCCAATGCTGCTAATGCTAACATGAGCCAACTGATGCTAAATAAGACATAAAGAAAAAAGCTCAACACTGTTGGACAAAAAAAATACTATTACTTACAAGTCCAGTAGCAACAAAGCCAGGTCACCATCAGTCCATGAGTTTGTAGCCTTCTTTAGCTTCCAACGACTGTAGGTCACGTTGATGTTTGCTCTGGATTTAGCTTTTCACTTTTCTTCCAAAGACATTACTCTTACTTCAACTTCCAGTGCCATACTGCCAATGAAAAAAAGCAAAATTATTGTTCTTCCTGTGCTTTTTGTTGAGGGTTGGTGAACTGAAACAGCTAACTGCTAGCTTTTGTGTTAGCTACTGCTGTAAAGCAGGTAGAAAGCTCCCACTAGTGTTCCTGCCTGAACCACAAAACACTTTCTGGTCAGCAGAGGACTACAGAGTGTTGTCCAAGGTGAAGTTGCTCAAGATTCTTGCTCAAGAGCCACCAAAACCAATAGCTCTTCACTATTGCATTGATGTATCAATAAGTTGTGTTGCAAAAATATCCAGTACATTGAGCTTTTTAGCCTGCTTCAGTTATGATTCATGAAAGAGCTGTACTGAACCTTATCATTTCTTCATTGATTGATTCATTTCATTCATTTTATTTTATTGCATACTGGCAGATAAAAAGATTGTTTTGGTCCTGGTGTGCCTCGTGCTACACATTTCCCTGATCCATACACACGCGTGTTTGTCATCCAGTAAAAATCGCCGCAGCGCTCCAGAGCCATTAAGGCTGTGATGATAGACTCGTTGCTAAGTAGACACCAATCCCATCTGCAACACTACGGCGAAACGAAGTGACAGATACAAAACGACTCGTGGATAAAGCTCCTAAACACACAGAATCTTACAAAAACACAGACATGGAAACATGCATGCTTTATGCCACATTATAAACTTTAATGAAGATCTTAGAGTTGTCTAAAGAAAGCTAACAATATTATCAAAATGGTGTTTATGGTTTTACAGCTCATTTGGAGTATCTTCGTGTCTTTAATTATGACCATTAATTAGGCCAAAATTCCTCAGAAGAAACCTACAATATTCTTCTTTAAATCTTCCACCATCCATTATTTTCCAAAATGTTGGTTTTAGGTACAAATTTGCCACATATTTAGAATTTCAACCCCTTTCCACCATGTCTGCCATGTTTCCTGCCCTCCTTCCTGGCAGTACAGTGTGGTGAGAAGATTGATAGAGGAAGTCTGTAGGTTTGTTAGACAGTCCAATCAATCAGCATCTCACAAAACCACCAGCTAATTAACTTACTCCACAGCTGTCAAGGGAGAGAGAAAGAAAAAGACATAGGAGAGCAGGGGAGGAGTGCACAGATGCAGAAAGATGAAGGATGGTAGATAGATAGATAGATAGATGTAGACTGAATCAAAGTATTCTTCCTCTTTCTGAGACCGAGACCATGGAGGGACAGAGATGGATGAAGATTATAAAGACACAGAGGAAGGAGGAATGATATAAAGGAGAGAGGGTGACTGATAACGTGAACGGCTCTTTAACGGGGACTGTTAGCCCAGGGCAGAAATAATTGGCAGAGGAAGGTGAGCTGGATCGTCATCGATCAACAGGCTGCACTCTTTGCCAAAGACAGCTCAAATCTAAAATCCTAAGAGCTCTGCGTGGGCACACAGTCAGTGTTAAAGAGGACAGTTTTGTCTGCCGGGTCGGAGTCAGTCCCTGTAAGTCGCATTTCATTATTTATTTATTTTTAGTTCTCATGATCCTCCATTGATCCCTGGAAGGAGGAATTCCTCTTTTTCCTCACCACTCTCCAGACGGAGGTCAAAGCGCGGGGTTAGCAGAAGCTGGAAGAGATACAGAGTGCTGCCCGGGGACACTTGAGACATGTGGAAAGCTGCCATTACAACTTCAATCCTGGCTTAAACATTCAATTACAGCTAAAGCTGTTGTCAGCGTGCCACTGCGTTGTAGCTCCGCATCAGTCCTGTGTATTCATTCAGATTTCTCTCAATCCAGAAACACGACGGCCAGTTCACGGTGATCCAGCTGGTGGGCATGCTGCGCGGCATCGCCTCAGGTATGAAGTACCTGTCAGACATGAGCTACGTTCACAGAGACCTGGCTGCCCGAAACATCCTGGTCAACAGCAACCTGGTGTGTAAGGTGTCGGACTTCGGCCTGAGTCGAGTTCTGGAGGACGACCCCGAGGCGGCGTACACAACGAGGGTAAGACTGGCTCACTTTAAAACTCACAGAAAAATAAAAGATATCTCACATAGACCAAATTATGGATGATTAATTCACAGTATATTTTATTAAAGCGTTGGACGAAGGCTAAGCTAATCGATACAAAGCTGATTGAAAACCTCACTGAGGCCCGGATGAAGCTACATTTCTTTGCATTTTTGCGTTTATGCTGTCAAATCAGCCACTGGTGACTGCAGCATCCTCTCACCGTGCTCAGTGAAACTGAAGGAGCTGAAACATCAGTGAGCCAAACCACTGCGGAGCCACTCATCAAAGATGTCCACAAGGAGATGGCATTATCCATATTCATGGGAAAAGTTGGGGATGTTATTCTTAATATGGCATTAGCATCGCCCTAGGAGGAGAGGATCAGCCGCTGACTGCGCTATAGCAATCACATACAAACTCCCACTGATGTCAACAGACCTAGATGGGGAGCTGCAGGCACTGATGAAGAGGAGGGGGTGAGACAGGCTCAGGCGGAGATGGGGGAAGACGCAGAGAAATCCTGGGTGGAAAAAACAGAGAGGAGAACGAGGGAGGGAAAGAGAAAGATCCAATAAGAGCAGTTAGGGAAGGAAGAAAAAAGAGAGAAGGGGTTGGGGCGGAGATGGAGAGGTGGAAACAAAAGTACAGCGCAGAGTAAGTTGGCAGCTTTGTCTTTCATTTGACTTTCACCAAGCAGAGACGGGGAAGGCTAGATGGTGCAGAGGCAGCAGCCGCATGTTAAAAAGCTGAGCCGAGCCTTTAGAGGTACAGCGTCTGGGCGTGTTAGAGAGGAAGAGGAAAGGCAGCAGTGTGTATACGTAGAGAGGGCTGTATGGATTCCTTTGATCCATTGCATCAACAACAAAGGCTGGGGGAGCCCGGGAATTGAAAGGAAAACTGATGGCCAGGACTCACACCCTTCTATGTCTCTCAGAATTAGAACTGAGTCACTTAGAATAGAGAAAATGACTTTATTTATACTAAGAACAACCTAATTGAGCTCCTGTTAGTTCCGGTCTCAACCACGCCCCATCCTATTTTATAACAAATGTCTTTGCTTACGTAAATTTTGTTTTATTAATTACTCCTGGTCGCTCAATGATACCATGATGCATCTTCTTGGCCATTAGGTTGGTTAAATATCAAACACAGACAACGTTTTAGTTCAACAGTGTGATAATGGCTTCAAGTTTCACATATTTATATGTGGAAAGGTGAAATCTAAAAATGTGTTAATGGTCCCACAGACTTCTAAACATCTACTAGAACTCCCATGATGTCCCAAGGTCTCATGTCATTTGTAATCTGCAACCTATACATTCATATATGTAGAAATGACCATGTTTGTATTTGCTAAGGTTGATTAGATGAGGTAGCCATCTTGAGTGGGTCAATCGGTTGTAGATCAAGTGGTTAATTCAACTCTGTCTTTTGATACATGAGATATGTTTGCTGAACTCTTGCAGAACACTTAACTGAGCTAGGTTTACATTTGCAAATGCCACAGATTGGTAACATTTGCCATCAATGTGCTTATGTTGGGAACAAATTATAACAAGCATGACATCGCTTGTTCTTTAATTCAGGTTGACTATTTAGGGTAGTAGGTGTGGAACACTGAAAAACTATTTTAAAAATCTTATTTCTGATCATAATCAGTCACTCAGAATTTTTCATGCAAGCTGAACATGAAAATAGTCTCTCACACCTATATCCTGCATTTGCTTCCAGTAGAAAATAGACGGTGAAACTCAAGGATTTGAAAATCCTGACAGATATACATCAATCTTTCACTTAATGTTCGTGGACTCACCCATGAATGGTAAAGCTGTTGTTGGTTTAACATCCAGGAGACAGCAGAGAACGTCTTGGCTAGTAGACGCTAACTGTTAGCATTAGCTACACCACCACACAGCAGATTTCCTCCAGGCTGGTGTTATTTGTTGAGATAAAACATCAACATTGCAAGTCAGTGGTAGAGACTCCAAATCCTGCCGTCTGAAGCTCAGCTGTGACGTGGCTCACTACTAGATCCTGGAAATGGTGCACCAGTTTTTTTTTCCTCCAGAGTATGACTTAGAAGGCATTCGTTCCTGCTAGAGACCACTGCAAATGTATTAGTTAAACAAGTGCTCCAGACTTTAAAGTCAAAAGTGTAAAATCCCAAAAAATTTATGGCTATTAGAATTAGAATCAGTATTTCTAACAAAACTGCTTGAAATGTGGTAGAAAACTAATAAACAGTATTGTTTTGTAAAATAATTTTTAGGGAGGGAAGATCCCCATCAGATGGACGGCTCCAGAGGCCATAGCCTACAGGAAGTTCACCTCAGCCAGCGATGTGTGGAGTTATGGGATCGTCATGTGGGAGGTGGTTTCATACGGAGAGAGGCCCTACTGGGAGATGTCCAACCAGGACGTGAGTCCCCAAACACACCTTCAGTCTTCAGTCAAATTCTCACCTTTAGAAACAACTTCAAATGATCCTGAATGGATGTTTTTATTTTATTATTTTGTGTGCAGGTGATCAAAGCAATAGACGAGGGCTACCGTCTTCCTGCTCCGATGGATTGTCCCGTGGTGTTGCACCAGCTCATGTTGGATTGCTGGGAGAAAGGACGCAGCGATCGGCCAAAGTTCGGACAGATTGTCACAATACTGGACAAGCTCATCAGAAACCCAGCAAGTCTCAGGGAGCTGGCCAACAGCTCAGTGGGGTCAGTTTGATGAATGTACTCAGTGCAGAAGTGAATCTCACTGATGTAGTCAGATAGTTATAGAGGTGTAGGAGCACACAGGCCAGCATGTGACTTTTTTAGGTGTTTTTTTTTTTAAAGAATAACATAAATAAAAGATACAGTATTGTGGGGGGAGGTTGATCACAAATGCCTTGTTCGGTTTAGACTGTTTGAATCCCCGGTTGTATTTCACGCATCCCGGGGAATGTCATTATTTTTACATTAGCATTTTCCACCTCAGGCACTTAGTTGAGGCTCTGAATCAGTGCAGCATGCAGAAATTTGAATCACTTTTATAGACAAATACTCTAAACAAAAAAGGGGGAATAGGTCCCGCAAAACTGAAGAGACAGCAGAAACTCAAAAGTACCAAAGCTAGATCCCCAGAGAGTAGATGAAGTGAAGCATGTGACCAAAAAGAAACCTTACACAGAGATCTCATTTTAAAACCTGGTATAGCACAACGTCCTTAGTGCATACAGCTAGTACAGAAACGTGATTTCTTATTAGGCTTTATGTAAATTATTGAATGTGTATAGCAAGCAAACAAGTCAAAAGATGCCAAAAGTAAAACCCTGCACTTATGCTGAGGAGTAGGCAATACAAAATGAGCTATGAATTAGGATTTTATGTTTTATAGTCTTTTTTTCTAACTATTTGCCTAATTATTATGTTGAATTCTAAGAAAAATCTATACATCATTCAATAAGTTGTTTATGTTGTTTTTTTATTTATTTATTTATTTATTTATCCCATCTCAGCAGGGAGGACCCGCCCACCCCGGAGTTCAGTGTTAGCACAGTGGATGATTGGTTGGAAACCATCAAGATGGGCCAGTACAAGGAGAACTTTTCCAGTGCTGGATATGTCAGCTTGGACTCCATCCTCTACATCAGCGTCAGGTACGGGCATGACATCTGTCTTTACTCTAACGGCTTAGAGGTAAAATGATTGACCTGTCAGCTGATTCATTTGCTAATTCTTTTAAAATAATCAACACTGATTAACCATACTGAGCTGTTCTGCAGCCAAACTCCTTCCCGTGATGAAAGTTGTTTTATGCAATACAACACCAGCAAAAGCACACTGCAAAAACTGATTTCTAAGAAAGTCAAATCAAATAATACTTTTTAGACATTTTATGCTATTTTTAGTCTAAAAAGAAAAGAATTTTCTAGAAATATTGCATTACATAAAATAAGGTCAATATTCTTAAATACGATCACAAATGTCTTTTTCAGAGCAATATATATAATATATATATATATATATATATATATATATATATATATATATATATATATATACTGTATATATATAACTTTTGCTTACCCCATTGGCAGATTCTTTTTTATCTTAGAACAAGAAAATTTGGCTCATATTCATGACAATTTACCTTACCTTAGTAGTGTAATTTTTAGAGAATATTTTTTAGACTACATATAAGATAAAATATCTAAAAATTTGTTATTTCTGTCTTTACTTTCTTAGAAATCAGTTTTCTCAGTGCAGTTTTAGCAGAAACCTCCATAAACTGGAATAATCCTGAAAAGACTCTTTGTGGTCACGAATCAAATGCTTTTTGGCTTTTTTATTTTAGCAGAAATGTATCGATAAAAGCACAAACAGATGCAACAATGCAAACATTATTAAATATGGCTTTAGCCTGAAACTATGATATGTTAAACCTAAAGAACAAGTTCACTCGTTTTTCAACACATCTGCAGTGGTCTCTGGTATAAATGAATGTCCTGTGAGGGGATCTCAGTGGGATCAATGTTCTGGTGCTCCTGTTTCAGGAACTAGAAGTGAGACAGATGAGAGGTAAGAAAAAGATGGCAGGATTTGATATTTGGACAACTCATCTCTGATTGGCTAACAGCAGTGTAACTCTATTACTGACTCAGTTTGCTGCAATGTTTATGTTTTATCTCCACAAAACCCCACAATCTTGAAGGAGTTCTGCTGTGTGGTGGAGTTGATAATGCAAACGGTTAGCTTTGACTAGCTGAGGCGCGGTCTGATCTCTCCTGGACGCTAAATCAACAACAGTCTTCCCTGTCGTGAGCCAAGATGGCTCATGAGTCCATTAATGCTAATTTACAGTGTGACGTAGATCTAACTGGCTTTTCTAATCTGAGCATTGCCCCATCTATTTTCTATCGGCGACTAATGCAGGAAGTAGGGGTAGAAAACTATTTTCTCATTTAGCCTGCATTTTAGTTTTTCAGTGAACTTGGTCTTTAACCGAATGTCATATTTCCCCCAAAGTAGTAAAACCTTTAAGGCTAAAGTCACATTTTTATATCTTAATTCAAATCTAGCACATAAACCGACTTTAAAAAAAGTTTTCTGAAGTAACTTTTCTAATCTTTTTTCAATTTTAATGTTTGCAATGCAAAATGTTTAAATTCCATGTTTAATATTTTTCCATCCAGTGAACTGACTAAGATGGGAGTGACTCTGGCTGGCCACCAGAAGAAGATTTTATCCAGCGTGCAGAGCCTGCAGACCCAGGGGACGCACGTCCACGTATAACAGTTCCCAACCAGACACACAGTGAGACGAGGTCGAACTGGACGCTCCTGTGAAGTCTCCCCACTGAAATGGACTTGTAATGGACACTTTGTGCTTGAGTCTCCATTGATTTTGAGACACACTGAGATGGAGACAACACTGACGCTTGACTCCTTCACCTTCCCATTCCTCCCCCCTCCTCCTCCGTCTCCTCGCCCTTTTCTGGCTTTAGCACTCTAGAGTCCCAGCAACACCGTCACTGTACTGGAGCGGCAGAGAGGCGCAACAAGGCTTCACAAAAAGCATCCCAGACCATTTCAGCTTAAAAAAAAGACAAAAAGCGTTTAACATTAGAAACAGCTAAAACAATAGAGTATGGTGATCACTGTTTGTGAACTGTACAGTCTTTTTTATCTTTTTTGTTTTTGTTTTCGCAGCAAAGGTGTGAAAAGGGTCATGAGGTATGTATATGTGTCGATAACTGTTTATATGGGCAGCGTGTCATGCAACCATAGAGATGGACCTAATGTTTGTAAGGGTGGTGAAGATTATATCGCTTGATCTTAAAGGAACTATTTACCTTGTAGATGCACGGCCTCATCTGTTGCTCTCAGAAAGCAAACGGACAAGGCGAGATTGTGAACTACATGAATGTGCGGGGAGGGGTGGGGGTGGGAGACAAACCGGACCTGTAGAGATAGAGACGGATGTAGGCTCTGCCAGCTTGTGTAGGACGGAGGTATGACGTGTAATCGGTTTATTGTTTTTGTTTCATTTACGGCCAGTGCAAGGGCTTCCTTAGAGACACTTCCACATCAGCTCAACCCGGTGTTTGTTAGCATATTTGCTGTCACGCTGACTGCAAAGAAGTGGCAAGAAGCAAAGGAAAGGTTTCTCTTCCAATGATTTACTTTTTTCAGCTCAATAAGTTTAGCCTTCCTGTGTTTCAGGTGTGTGAAGAAAGTGATAGTAGTGCAAAAGTTGTAAGAACATGCCTTGTCATGTACAGTGATCTTGAGAAGTGAATCTAGGTGACACGCCATTAGTTTAAATGTGCACTTTTCTTTTATCAGCCTCCACGGTTGGATGGTCACTCAAGCGCAGCCGCTGTAATTGGAGGGTTTAGAGTTTCCCTCTTTGCCTGCATGATAAAATCACCAACAATCTTTCCATGGGTGATTTCCAGATGTGCCAACACAAGAGGGTGAATTTTTACTTATAGAAAGATTATTTTTTTGTCATGTACTGTATCACTTTCTGCTCATCAGGTACGCAAACTATATTAATCATGTCCTACTTTCAAACCTTTACCTGTTGGTTCTTTTCTTCCAAATCAACGTTTACAGGAATAAGGAAATGTGTTGGTTCTTTGTCTCCTGATTAGAGGGTAAATGCTGCTTATCACATTGATTCCACACTTAGATGTGAAGGGGCCCTCTTTGCATTAATAGCACTAAACCTGCTTTTGGTGAAACCCAGTTTTAATACACATGGTGATCTGTAGGACCAACGGTGACATACAGTACAGTATATATGATTGTATTATAGTGTAAAATATGTACAGTGTTGATTTCCAATGTCAGAATGTTTGTATTGACAACGATGATGACTATGATGTGCATTTATTGTGATAAAGAGATTTCTGAAGTTCATGTTCAGGGGCGGGTCATACAGGTGAAAGGAACAAAGGAATGTAGCGCCGTGCAAAGCGTCAGCTTTGATCGGCAGGTGACAGTGACTGCAGTTTCTCCGATAGCGTTAGAATGAGTAGAATGGACTGATTGATAAGCATGCTTCATTTGATAATCCACATTATACTGTGATTAATTGCAGTTTTGATCCCATTCTCACATCTGATGCAGCTTTTTCTAAAATTCCTGTTTAGAAAGAGGATTGTGGGTAACGGATGAGTAAAACCGGAGCAGTCCTCGGATTTGGATCTGGTAAAACCCTGATGTTAGCTAGATGATACGTAGTTGTGAAGTTGTAATCCGACAACTTTAGATTTAGGTGAATGAAGAAGTAAAAGCATTTACAGATGCAGATGCAGTATTTTTATTTAATTATTAATAATAATGAGGAAAGGGATGAACCAGGGGGGTCTGCAACCTGGAGCCACGAGCAGCTTCAACAGTTGTCCTGTCTAATAATTTTACAATATGGATGGAGCCTCCAGCAGCAAAATGACACTAATCTTTACTAAATAGTTATTTTAATTGGCTTTGAACTGAATTATGACATACCCGTTATTATTAATGCACTGTCTATCATTAAAGGTGTGGAACACTCATTTAATCAATATGTTTGCAGTGTTCTCTAGTAGGAATGAATGCCTTGTAAGTTGTACGGGGGAACACTGGTGCATCATTTCCAGGAGTGAGCCACATCAAAGCTGACCGTCAGACAGCAGGATTTCGAGTCTTGTTTCTGTTGTTGTTTAACCTCCACAAATAAACGCAAGCCTTTAGAAGTTCTGCTGTGTGGTGAAGCTGCTAATGCTAATGGTTAGCATCTACTAGGTTGATATGTTTTCTGCAGTTTCCTTGACACTAAATTAACAGCAACCTTCCCCAATGCGAGTCAAGGTGGGCGAGTCCACGGATGTTAACGGGATAGTTTGGCTTGCTTTAAGCACCCTGTGATATCCAGTTAGTCAACCCAAAAATGAAACGTATCTCCTCGCTGCGAGTTTGGTTTTTATACACCTGCATTTAACAGCCGAAATGTCTCCTCAGCCTTCACTAATGTCTACAGGAGCTGTTCATCACTAAATCAATCAAATCACTTGTGTTTGCAATCTCATGCGTGTAGCAATTGTGCTGAAGCAGAGTGCAGAACCAGGCCTTTAAGCTCCACTTTGACTAAGTCCAACAGAAGACACCCCGCCACTCTGAAGTTGCAACTGCGATATAGTCTGGCCACAGAGGGTGGTGGGGGTCTGAGGGACATTTCATTACCACTGTAAAGGGTCATTTTAGCACACACTGTCTCAAGAAAATGATTTAAAAATATGAAAATTTTGCATCGCATGCCTTTAAATGACAGTGTGACGTAGATGTGTCAGGCTTTTCAAATCTTAGCATTTCACTTTCTATTTTCTATCAGAAGCTAACGAATGAGATGGTGTAGGAGACTATTTTAATTGTCCACCTACCTGAAAAACTCAGAGTGACAGAATAGAATCACAAATAATATCTTATGTTTTTTGTGTGTGTTCTACATCTTTAAAAAGCAGTGATTTATTTTACTGTTGGGTAATAGTTGGATATTTTGGGCTGTTATATTGCTGCAAAGGTCTGGAAAACCAAATACTTTTTCTTGTTTTTATCTAACTCTAAAATAACAACAACAACAAACTCTCAAAGCTACATACACTGCAGCAAATAAAAAAGATGAATAAAAACTACAAGTTTAAAAAGTATAATCTTTATTTTAAGCAATCAGTAGATTTTGTGGCTCTACACAAATTAGATGTGTCACTAAAATATTTTAAAATTTCTTGAAAGCATTGCAGACCCCTGGTTTAAAAAACTACACTTTTAGTTAATAATAATAGATGCCACAGATAGCTTGACTGCTAAAGTCTCTGCTAGCTTTTAACAGAGAGAAACATCAAAGATAAAAATAGATAATAGGCTAGTATTGATGTGATGACAGACTTTATAATAAAACTAGTAAATAAGTTAGGATCTGTTTCCCACGCTTAACAGATTTAAGCAGTCACATTAGCAGCTGTCTAATTCTGAAAACAAAACAAGTCATCTGGAAATACGGAACTTCTTCTGACAAAGTTTTATCCAGGAATTTAAGCTAATATCAAATCAAAGTTGTCATTTTAAAAGTTTAAATTGTAACTTTACTTATGTCTACCTCTATCTTAAATGAAGGATCCCCTTAAAATTTTAGGGTGCTGTCCGCCGCTAGAGCTAATGTCACCCATACGCACATAGCATAGCTAATATCATGCAATAAATCAGGACAGACAGGCATCGCTACGATAACAGAGGCAGGGTTAGGGTCAACCCTAGCTCTAACTCTACCTGTGTTAGGGTTAACCCTAACCCTTACAGGACTGAAACAAACAAGGCAGAGCCGTAAAGAAAAAGTTTAGGGAGCATTTTAACGCCATTCTTTTTATAAGACCTTTTGTTTTAGAACAAAATCACATTAAAATCTAAATCAAAAATTCTTTTTTTTCTGTCCGAACCATTTTCACTACAATTTCACTTTATTCACAGATAAAAGTTCCAGAATACCAACTGAGAGTGACTGACACTGTTCGTTCTACTCTTGCTAACCCTATAATTTTGCTCCAGCGGACTATCGCTGAACCTTTTAGATGCCTTATTTACTGAGTTATTGTTCTTTCTGTTGTCATAGAAAAGAGATAGAAGGAAAAAGTGTATATACAGTTTATTTATCTTCATTATTAAGGTGGCCTCAGATCAACACCCTTTTAAAACCGTCTGGTTCGTCACACCAGGGACAAAAGAATCAAATCAAATATGATCAGGTTTCCAATCTGATTGGCTCACAATCTCTCTGCCTGGAAACCAAAAGCATCTCCTCTATTTCCGGGCTCATTCAGATTTCCCAACATGAGGATTTCTGCCACTTTTTGTCTAAATTAAAAAACTCCAAATTTTTAGTCACTACACCCCATGATGAGGTTAGCCATGTGGGCTGGCTCTTTCCATTTGAAATGCAGTCTGTGTTTCCATTTCCCACCAGCTTTGTACTGTAAATGTTCATTAGATTCTCATTTGAGGCTTTCAGCGCGTCGTCTCTCTTTTGTCCTCCTCTTTGTTTTCTTTCTTTGACCACCAATAAGGTCTTTTTGTCCCTCATGCCAATTTTGCTTGTTGTAAAGGGTGTAGACATTCTTATGTCTTTCAAGTTGCTGTAATAAATATGCTAATATTTCTAATTTCTCACCTGAAGCCTGCAGTGTATTTTCCTCTCACACTTTATTTAATTTTGATTTTTTTTGCAATTCTATTTTTTCTCCGTTCTTGAGAAACACTCGAAGCAGCACTCAACACTTCACACTTGGATATGAATAAAATGGTAAAAAATGTTGATGATAACAATGATGTGAGAACTCTTTTGTGATCTTTCTGCTGTCAATCAGTTAGAGAACTTAAAAGTCAAGATCTGGATTTATCGCCAACATTTATTTACAAGTTTCTCGTAGTATTTCGTTATTTCACTTCATTTATTTTTTTTCTCTTGGTGAAAAGGTCATGGTTTAGCACACACACTGTCTCAGGAGTCTTTGAGATGCTTACTATTGCTCGAATGGTGTTCTGAACAGAATGACTGTCAACACAATCATAACTGACTGTATTTTAGTTAAAGGTGCATGCGGGAGTAAATTATTAATTCAACCTGAATGACTTGGAATATTTCTACCAAACTGTGAGAATTACCTAAAGTTAAGCAGCTGAGCCAGATGTGCTATAGGAATATATTTCACAAAATTGCGTTTTATTGAGATGCTGTCATTAAGAATTGTGCAGAACAGAGAGAAATTATAACAGTGATATTCTGAAAACCGGTCTCAACAGGCAAACCCTCATTTTTCTCTGGCTCTGATGCTCAAACTGTCAAAATAACATTCTTGAACAGTAAAAATCTAGCAGTCTGCCAGCCTCTTCTTCATGATCAGTATGCGTATAGTGTGTGTGCAGTGTGTGTTTTTCATACTGAAAGATAATTCTGTCTCAGGGGAAGAGAGAGGTCATCGACTCCTGGCCTTGGTTAACCCCTTAATGCACTGACCCAGTTGCTGTCACTCTATGTTACTGTCATTACACCTCATTTAGCCCATCATATTAGGCTTCATATTCTCCTATCTCTCCCTCGCTGCACTGACACACACACACACAGCTTGACGTCCCAAAAAATTCCGGGTCTGCACTCTGTTTCCTCCCTATCTATCTTCTCCCATTGGCCCCCTCTTAATCTTTCCTCTGGCCTTGTGCATCCCCATTTTTCCTCCCCTTCTCTATCCATCCTGTGCAGACAGACGGAAAGGTTGTGGAGACTCCTCTGGCCTTGACTGTCCCGTTATCTCCTTCTGATTGCCTTCTTCCTCTTTCATAGCTGTGTACTTTCTTACACTTGCACCCATCTCTTCATCCAGACATCAATCCAAAAGTTTCTCTACATCCAAGCCCTTTTAGGAGGGAAGGTCTGTCTCGCTGCTAACACCACTGGATTCCATCTCTCCATTAAAAGCCAATCTATAACTTGGGATTTTGTCTGCGGGTGTCTCTACAGGCAGAATGTCATCTCACGTGTTTACTTAGGATAACAGTGGCTACCAGGAGCCATAGCTTAGGCAATTGATTCATCATGCAGCTCCTATTGACATCACGTGAAAAGGTCAGATGTCCCCATGGAGAAGACTTTAAAAGGCCATTGATGACTGATGAGCCTGTCATGTTTGTATCACATACATTCAAAAGCATCTGCTTCTCCTTCTCTATCTTCACTTTTCTCTCTGTTCCCTACTCTGCTCTTTATCCGTGACACACAAACACACTCTCCGGGGAAAGGTAATTGGGCCCCTCTGTCATGTTGTCAGGTGTGTTTTTGAGTATCCCCTTTATGTGCAGTCATTATAACATAAGAGACCAAACAGCTATGGATCAAGCACGACCTCTGTCAAGGGTCAGCCATGCACGTTTGTGTCTCTCTGCGGGAAGTGTGTGTTTGTGGCTAAAACCCGGTGCACTTTGAGGGAGCCAGCAACGCAGGTTTCAACAATAAACGCAACATGAGAGCATCAGATAAAATCTGCACCAGAGGGGAGATTTCATCAGTTATTGGATGAATTTTCTGGAGTTCCTGCTATGTCGATTTTGATTGCATTGCCTCTTCTCCCTCTAATCAAATATGGCTGAGTTGGGACGGGCTCAGAGTTGGCCTGTCTGCGCACACTTATGCACACACCAGTACTCTTGTGTCTCATGAGGTTTTCATTTGCTACCAAAGCGATTTCCTGTCTCAAATTTTCATCAGTAATCAAAGTTCCTGATTGAATTTGAAAATTGAGCCCGGCTCTATAAATCACATTACATGCTTCACTCACATCATGCCTGCTCTCATCAGCCACAGGACCAAGACGCCACCCTGGGTGTATGCCTAACTCCTGGACTCTGCATGTGATTTTTGAGTGCTGGGGAACAGCAAAATAGATGCTGACAGGGCTGAGACTTGTTTTTTATGGTTAAAATGGTGAATATAAACAGGAAAGAAAGACGGTCCAAGAAAAACCGAGATAACTCACCTGGGTCGGATTATGTATGAAATAAATTCCTGGCAATTGTTTTTTAGTGTCAAATTAAGACCAGACAGGTTGAGTTTATTGCATCAGTGCAGCTCAAACTCAGCAGATACATTGAGTGAGGAGAAACCCAATCCTTGGTTTGGTGACTTATTGATGGAAAACAGAGATTCTTCTATTTTTAAGGAGGGTTCAATGTTTGTGTGCATGGGGCAAATAAAAATACGTTTTACTTTGAAATGGTGGTAGCAAACAAGTGTTCTCAGAAGGCAGGTAGAAAAGATGTATAGCCTTCTTCATTGTCCTTTGTTTAATTTCAGGTTGATGCAAGTAAAATTTATTTCATCGAATACACTTTAAAAAGCCTTCAGTTCTTGTCACGCTAATTTCAAAAGCTTAAAATTAAACCTAAAGTCAGGAAGAATTGGTTTGGATTGGTCATTCAGAATTTTGCAGAGTCTAAACTAACCTCATTGTAATTTATTTAAACTGTAGGGTTAGAGTTAGAGTTGGGGTTAACTTTAGTTAACACACATTTAAGCATTAATGAGGAAAATTAAACCACAGTTCTCTGTTTAACCAAGATCCTATTCAAGTTTCACTTTGTGGGTTTTAACCTTAAATATTTCACTGTGAAAAAACTATTTAAATATGAAACACAGAAAAATGAAAGCAATTGATAATGATCTCAAAAACCAGCCAATTAATCAAAAATAAAAGAACTAGTTTCCAACCCCAACACCATCTTTAAAGGTCAACTTCACTGAAAACCACTTTTTAAGTATTGCAGATTATAGCTAAGCGAGCCCTTTGAGTTTGTCATGCAAGCTACCCGTTTCCTGTATTAGCTTCTTATAGAAAATAGATGGTGGAAATCTAGGATTTAAAAAGCCTGACAGATCTAGGTCACACCGTCCCTTAACAATCATGGACTCGTCCATCTTGACTCGCAACGATGAAGGCTGTTGTTGTTTGTTGTTTGTCCAGGAAACAGCAGCGAATGTCTGGACTAGTAGAGGCTAACTGCTAGCATTAGCAATGCCACCACAGAACTCCTTCAGGCTTGTGTTATTTATTAAAACATAAAACAGAATCAGTGGTAGAGTTGCGTTGCTTCCAATCAACGGCGAGATGTTCAAATTTCAGGAAATACAACTTCAAATCCTGCTGTGTTCTGTCACTCTCTCCTCCAGCTGATCTCTCCATCCTCACCTGCTCCAGAGCTTTTTTTTCCCCCAGAGTATGACTTACGAGGCATTAATTCCTAAGAGAGGCCACTGCAAATGTAATAAAAATATGAGTAAAGAGATGACATCTAAACTGTATCAAATAATGACTTCATTAGCAGAAAAAAAAAGGTTGAAAATTCTTGGCTGGTTAGAACAAATTCATTCTCTTGAAACGGTTTGTCAGGGGTGCTCATTGTGTTTCCTTTACTTTTTGTTTTTACATATAAAAGGCAAGAAAAAAAATGTTGCTTTTCATGAATAGCAAAGTTTTGGTGTTGTATGATCTTTGCAAACCAAGTATATTTTTCCTATTTAAATAAATTGAATTAACTGTAATTTAAAATTCTGTAGTTTTATGATTTTGTCAGAAGAACAAGTATGAGTGCTGCCACATCGGACTGCAGTCACCTTCTGAAATCAGATCTTGGCAGACATGCCAACCAGATGAAGCGGAGATGAGGAATGTAAACACAAGAGCTGGTAAATTAGTTGGAGAGAAACTCAGAGGGGTTTGATTCAGAAGCTGCCTTTGGTTTACTCAAGGGGCGGGGCTTGGGCTACATGCAAACCTCAATATTACCTCAGCTGACTCCAAAAAAGTTGACAATATCTACATTTAGAGGCAGCGCTGCACAGAAGCAACTTCTGATCCACGATGAGGACAACTACAAACAAGTTGCAGAGATTTCCAATCGGAAGGATGCCGCAGTAAAACTCATTCATTCAAGCATATCTGTTGGCCTTGCTTTAGGACATTCTTGTACGACGAGTGTATTTTCTCAGATGAGTGCAGGAACTTCCTGATCCATCCATGTTTATGTTTACAAGTACACGTGGATAGAAATTTATTTTTTTCACCTCATGTTTAATCTATGCAGCATAAGCAAGCACAGCTCGCCATCAATCAGGCTTTGATGTTAAAGAGAAGACCTCACTCACCACAGCAACCCCTTTATTCTCTGAGCTGGACTAGATAAAGCCCTTTTGCTATGATTCTATTATTTATTTATTTTAATATATATTGAAAGATTTATATTAAAATAAATCCCCCTGGTAGGGTCTCCCATGACAAATTGGTCTTAGGTGAAGGGTGAGACAAAGAACGGTTCGAAGGATCTTTCATGGCGGTTAAAACGAAGAGTCGGAGTACCCGGCCCGGAGGGTTACCGGGGTCCCACCCTGGAGCCAGGCCTGGGGTTGGGGCCCGTGAGCGAGCGCCTGGTGGCCGGGCTTTCGCCCATGGGGCCCGGCCGGGCCCAGCCCGAACCGGATACATGGGCTCGTCCAACTGTGGACCCACCACCCGCAGGAGGAACATGAAGGGTCCGGTGCAATGTGAATCGGGTGGCAGACCAAGGCGGGAGCCTTGGCGGTCCAATCCCCGGACAAGAAAACTAGTTTTTGGGACATGGAA